AGCTTAATATTTATTTGTTTACTTTATTAAACATTTCTTTCAATGTAAGTTGTTAAGTTTTGCTTCGTTTCATGTGATAATACTTTCTCTTTAATTCTATTAAACAGACATAATTTCTTGTTCAGTTACAAAGTTCCGCCGTTCAAGTCCTATAATTGCTGTGTCAAGAATACCGACTAATTTGTCAATCGAAATTTTTTTGTTTTCAATAACCTCTGTCACTTTTCTTCGCTATCGGAAGCGAATTATAATGACGAGGAACTTGTTTTAAATCATATCAAAGACGAAGCATATCGAGATGAAATACTACATTTGGTAAGGAATTATAAGCCAAATAAAATAAAAACATCTGCGCTGAAGATAAGGATAGTGCTGACAAATCAACTTCCAATTCATTACGCGCCTGCCGCCGAGCAGCGTGAAATTGATAAACAGATTTCGGATTTCAAAACATACTTTCGCTTTAGATCCTTTACATATTAACAAATATATATCGGAAATTCTATTTGATATAATCGAAAGTTTAAGCTTACTTTTATAAAATTGCTCTTACAGTCTGCAAAAAATAATAAGCCGGACGCAATTCGAAAATTAAGGAACAACGCAATCATCAACATTAACTGAAATAGATAATTATTTAGCTTATAAGTCCATTATACATAAAATGCGCGCGCGAAAACGTATTCTGCACTTGCGCACACTCATATGCGCAGTCGTAAAAAGGTCTTACGCGCACGCGTGAACGCCTCTGCGCATGTGTCAACGCGGCGCATGCGCAGAAAGTTTTTAGTTTTGATGTCGGAATTAACGACTTTTGACTGTATATACAGGCTATCTGTTAGTTATCCTCAAGATTTTTTTTTTAAATTAGGCATATTTAGAATATCGTATTTCTCCTAAGAGAAATTATATATAAAAATTGAAGAAGGTTTTATGTAGTATATAAATATGCATGTGCATGTTTATAGTATTGAGAGTACTACAGTACAATGCAGAAATATTCCATACTGCTTTGTACAGAAAGATATGTGCCAAAGTATTGGTCTTTCAAAAAAATATCTCTAGACCATTTTGTTATTTTTCTTTTTTTACCTTCTTCCGTTGCCTCTTGGCTAATGAGAAGGGCAGATAAAAGATCATTCTGTTGAGCCGGTAAAACTTTGTGGCGAGTTGAAAAAGCCATGATACAACGAAAAAAACAAGCAGAGCGAACGCGGGAAATCAATCGAGCGGGAGAACAGCGTTGTAGACATTCCACGCACGCGCAAATTTACCTTCTCTCATTGGCTATGGCTTACACCTCGTTTTCGCAGGTGTGAACGGGTCTCCCGTATTTTATGCCCTTATGACTATGCCTCTATGTGCTTTACACCCACGTCTGAACGCACCTTTATGCTCTAAATGAAAACTAGTGGCAAAGTGGATAATATTTCTTTATCTTTGATAATTTAACCTGGATTCAAATTCCAATGAATGGATTAATTTTATGAACTTTTCTTGTTCTCTCACATATAATTAGGGTATATCAGCCAATTTTCTTTGAAGGCGCTCCGCAATAGCCCCTTTCGTTTAGGTAGATAACACTTTCTTTAATCCGACAAATAAAAATAAAATTATATTCGAAATAAGAAAGTTAAAACTTATGAGCATTTCCTTTTATGAATAAGTTTGATGACAAAATGAATTTTAATTGTGCGACAAATGAAATAAAAATTTTTACTAAAGCAATTATTATGGAACATTTTCTAATTCAAAAAAGTTTCAAAACTTATTAATTTATCCGTTGTTATATGTTTGCGTCTATAATGTCATACCTATACCAATTCGTTCAGAATTTAGACACTCTTGAGGTTAACTGAATATGGAAAAGCGCACGAAGGTTGCATACCTCAAGAAAAAGATGCATTCGTAGAGATCTTTTAGAGGAAATTGGCTCGTATTCACATTTTACATGGGGGAAACAACGAAAACCGACCATGCAGCCAGCCCGATCGCCTGACATCGAACTAAGGGAATCAAATTTAGATATTGGAATACTAAGCATGCATACAGGAATTCAGATGTGTACCAATTTTTAGTTTTCTAAATTTAATCCCCAGTGCGAATCTTCATTAATATTCATCAAACTCAGTACGAATCTTCATTCCCAGCTTCATTACTCCCAAAGAAAGCAAGTGTAAATAGCTTGAGATCTGAAAATTTCGCATAACAGGTTTGATACCTCAAAGGTGATTTTAGCAATCTTAAAATGCAGATCATAGAAAACTGAACAAATATTTCGCTATTCGACAAAGATGTTTACTTTCTGAAATATCAATGCGTTCCTGTATATGCAATTTTGCATTTAAAGAAAAAATGGTGTAGCAATATAAATTATCGAACAACTATCACACAAATAATATCTTATACTGCAAAGTGATAAAACTAAATTTTTGTTACTGAATACATTAAAACTCAACAAGGATTTTATTTTTTAAAACTCCAGGGTTTGCATCTGCATTTCTTTCTTGAACCAAAAATTATAAAGTAGTTTAAAAAAGTTAAACATCTTATATGCCTGATGTAAAGGCAGATCAACTCTGGGATCGCTATTTGCAACGTCACATGGAAGAAAAATAAATAAATATTTCTTGGCTCATGCATTGTAAATTTTTAGTGAAGTACAAACGCAATGACCAATTTCTATTTCTCCAGAAATGAATATTACCAGAGGTGTAAAAATAATAACACTCATTTTGGAATCCGGAAATGCTTTTTAGTAAAGTTTTTAGTTTCTTTGTAGTAAATAAACTCTATTTAATTTGCTCTTCAACATCAGAATAATAATGCTATTAACCCCTTAACTGCCGCGGGCGTATATAATTGTTTGCAGGAAATGTTTGACTATTTTAACTCACTGAATTTTTGATACAATGACAAGTGAATATATTTAACTCCAATTTCTTCGCTTATTTTTTAGTACATAATCTACGTGCAAGTTTAAAAAACTATTTTAATCATAAAATGGAACACTTTTTAGAAAAAAATTTTATAGTTGTAGCATACATTTCATCTGAAGAAGATCAAATAAATAAATTTTTCCCCCTTGAGAAAACTGCATTCAACTACCTGCAGTGTGAAAGCGATTAGCGCATCCCACATTCTAACGCCTACGGCATTGGAACTGGATTGAAAGGAAATCATGACAGTTTCCTTGCCTGCCCGACAAAAGAGCACTAATCACATAGTCATCAAGACTCAATTCTATAATTTTTCCCCCTTTGCATAACCGATGAGCCAAGAGCCCCCAGTGAAGGTACACAACTGTTTTTCGAGCCCACGCAAAAAGGTTAATGAATTTGAAAATTTCCATAACTTCTACATAGTTGAACTGTATGAAATTACCAAAATATTCTAATATATTTTTGAAATGTTAAGTTTTAGGATACTTGCATATCCCATGGACCATGCAAATTAGAGAGAAACTCCCACCAAAGTTGTACCTAACATTCTTGAAAAATTCTGAGCTGCACTTCTTATGTGTAAACCTTACAATAAAACATTTGTTAGTCTCTCTGCACAATCCACATTACAGCTACTATTATCTGATCTGCTTAATTTGTGTGCATCATAAAAAGGCTTTTGTCAATTTCTACTATTTTGTTAAGCCCTCCAAATATACCAGAAGATAAGTTTAGAACATTACAAACTTCCTGCAGATGTTAGATCCAAAATATTACTGTTCTGTTGATAATATCTTGCTGTGCTTTTCCTGATTCAACAGATGTTAATTCTCTCAAACATCTCTAAATGAATTGGACTTCTGTCACAAACGTGATTCTCTAGTCCTTGAATTCATTTTCCCCAAAAAATGAAATAAAAGAAATGTAGCAACAGAAGTTAATTTATATCCTTGTTTTCAGGGGTATAATATAGACCACTCTTCACGGGGTGTACCCTGGGCAATGTTGATCGGCAATATGGTCTATAGTGTTGCCATGTTAGATCTTATTTGCCTGCCAGAATGTCCACAACGTAATGCTGCAGACTATTTCCGGCTACTAACAGGCCATGATTGCATGAGCTTGGCATATCTGCTCAACCATTTTGCCTATTCTGTGATCTTATGGAACTGATGAATACAGCCCAGCTTTGTCGCTATGGAGCATTTCTTGGTTATGACTCCAAGACCACCTGATACTGGCATGCCAGGGACTGTTTTATGCAATGATTTTCAGTCACTTCTGTTAGGTTCTGTCTTTGAACTTCTTGTTGTATTTTACAATGCCATTAGAAATTTAAAAAAATATATATTCTTAGTCATAAAAACAAAACAAAAAGTGGCTAATCGAGAATCAGTCGGGGTTATATCAAATGAAAGGGCAGATGTTATGAGTGTGTTGTGATGTCATGCTTACTCGTAACTGGCGTAAATTGCACAACTTGCCTATAGTTTTACGGTTAACAGAATAATATGTAAGTCCTTGTTTTAGATATAAGACAGATATAGTTTTAAAAAATAAAATGAGAAAAAAACAGTATTTATGTAAGAAGCAAATTTATGTTACGTCAAATTCACGAAGACTATTTTATAATTATTTTAGATTTTTAGCTGCCTAAGTGGCAGGTGCAATTGTTAGTGAATTTTGCTACATAATCGAAAAGCTTAAGCACTTATTTGTTTACATTCTTTTGTATATTACATCAATAACTCGTATTTGTCAATTATACAACTCAAAAAGGAGTTATCTCTGATCATCTAACTAAACAGAGCCTCCAAAACTCCATTGAAACAATTGGTGCAAATCTGGCAGGATTCACATCAATTTTTATGGTCAAAGGGTAAATACATATCCTTAATTTGGGCTAAAGCAATGATTGTTAAATTTACTAATTTTTCATTAATCATGCATCATAATTTCTAAAGAATTACATTTAGGCAGGAATTAAACCAAAATACACAAATCTTTCACACACACACACGAAAAAAAAAAAAAAAAAAAAAAAAAAAAAAAACTTACTTTTTCCTCCCTTCTCTACATCACGACGTTCATTTCCTGGTAGCATAGATACAGAATAACATCGATACTGAGAACTGAACGGCCTCAGTGATTCATGGAAAGCATTGAATGAAAACTATAATAAATAAAATAACAAATATGGAAACAAAGTAAAGCTTTTTAAGACAAATATATATGTTTAAATGTTAAAACATATCAAGTTTATTGCTATATAAAAGGATTGAAGGAACTACCAGGGTTCATAGCCACATTTTAGTTAAAAAAATAAGCACCTATAAGCACTTTTCAAGCACATTTTAAGAAAAAAAAAATAAGCACCTGTCTAATTACATTACACACAACTGCATAACCTTAAAAATTAGACTCGTAATCTAAAATATGAGAAATGCAGTATTTATTAAGAGAGAATAAGCATTACCTCACTAATGGAAAATAATTACTTTTTTTAAAATTTAAATAACAGTTCAATTTACAGAAGTAGTTTACAATGAGAGAAAAAAAAAAAAAAACTATGCAGAACTAAACTATGTTACAAGATTTAATGATGAAATTTCAGTTCAAAATGGAGGAAATAAATAATAATAAGGCATATTTATTCTATTCGCTTGGAACTTAACAATAAATACAATTTATTTTTCCACTCATATTGATATCTGACTAATTTAAATCTAAATTCTGAACATTTTCTAAATTTTCATCGTATATCAGTTTTCCCTTTAACAGATATTGCAAGCAAAGTAATTTAAGTAAAAAAGAGGAACATTTCTGAAATCAGAAGGCAGAAATTTGCTTCATGCAGTTATCCTGTAACAGTAAAAGTTTAACTACCCGCATACTTGAAAATTGGCGAATATTCGAACAGTTCAGCGTAACTTGAAAAAGAGGAGCGGAGGGGGATAGACTGTAGCCGTTCTTTAGATTTTTCCGCTAAATAAATGCTTTTGACATTTCGATACGTGCATCTTATAAAAACAAACCAACGGAACAGAAAGATATTCTGCTTTGCAAGCGCAGTAAAACTCTTTTAAGTGTTCATAAACAAATCTCGGAATTAATTATCTCTGCAAAATATCGCCGTAATTCTTCCCTCCCTATGTGATATTACGCAATCGGATTCAACAGCTGCTGGTATTGGGAGAATAAAGAACTAAATAAAGGAAAAGAAAGAGACTTACCAATCTGGGGTTCTAATTTTCAACAGACTGAGTTAAATTTCCGGAATAGAATCATTCTTCGCTTGGGTTGGTAGACCGCAAAACTTTTAGTCCTATTCAATCCAGATTGGAAAGTGACCAAAAAAAAAAAAGTCCGTTGCTTGTTTTGCAGCGAACTGTGACAGTTTCAATATTCGAGATTTTGCGGAGAAAGGGGAGAACCTCCCAATCTTCATACTGTATAATGTATTGGCCAAAAAAATGAAATTATTTTGACTATTCGATTACTTTCCCTTTATTTAAGCCATTCCGAATATTATTCCTTAGAAAGCTAATTTGTGTTAAAACACAACCATTTTTGGAAGTTTACTATACTTCAGCAGTTACTGCAACTATGTTATTATAAACATTCATACATATACTCATAATATAAGCATAACAATCATAATAAACACGAATATGAACTGACCAAGCGGAACGAGATTGCAAATTATTAAGATCTTGATAGAAATTCAAACGTGTGTAGTATTTGGGTGGGAGGAAAAGAATGCCGAATGTACCGAAATTTTCTACTGCTTTCGCAATTCTTTAACCAACAGAACGACGGGCATCTGTCTGTACTCTCCGCGCACACCAAAGGTTATGTTAATGCAGAGAAAGGGGGAAGAGCTATTTCCGGGAGTATGATTCACCATCTGACATTCCATATTAGGAAGAAAAGTTGTTTATTTAGTTTCGGCTTTGGTACGGGGAAAAATTATGCGTTCATTAAAAAAAAAAAAAAAAGCACTAAAAGCAAAAAATAAGCACTCAAAACAAAAAATAAGGGCTTTAAAGAAAAAGTAAGCACCTATAAGGGCTTTATATTTTATTTTCAAATATAAGGACTTATAAGCACTTATAAGGACCGCTACGAACCCTGAACTACTCTCATATATGCGGTTTGCCTACATTTTGAACTTTAAGCCTAAAATGTCTGCAAAAATGCAATTTTTCACACATGCATAAACCACGTTTTGAACACACAATTTAAGCTAAAAATCCAAAACAAAAACTTTACATAGCAAAAACGTAAAGTTTCTAACCAAAAATATTTGAGAAGAACCCATGTACACAACAATATGTTTTAACTTAAAAAATAAATAAATAAATAATAATAATAATAATTACAGAATTGCACAATCTATGCAGTGAAGGAATCTACGAACTACGCATATGTAGCTTAAATAAATTAACATAACAATAAATTTCATAGAATACCATGCACACAGTATTTTGTTTAAACTTAGAAAACAATCTACGAACTACACAATCTACGCAGCGAAGGAATCTACGAACTACGCACACCTGCGCTTTATTGTTGTTATGTTAATAAATTAACATAACAACATGTTATGTTAATAAATTTCAAGAATACACAGTGCTCTGTTTCAACATTAAAAAATATCTACGAATTGCACAATCTAGGCATTGTGCAGTAATGAACAAAATAAACTAAAATAAAATTCAAACAAATAATAATATAAAAAAAAACAATAACGATAGAAATTCATACTAAAAAAACAATGAACATAACATTCTACAAAATAAGAACAAAGATAAAATAAAATGCACTTACCATGAATGAATGCTTCTTCGAATAGCAGAAATACCAATTTCATGTCGCCTTTAACATGCTGCCACATAATCTCTATCGTATTTATATGACAGCCAGATTCACTATCCACAAAATTGATACTCCCTTTCACAAATAAATGTTCAAAACCTTCTTTTCCTAAATCCTGTAGGATTTCCAGCCATCCAAAAAAATAGTTGTGCCAGGCTCAATCCACTCTTTATTACACTGCATCAGTTTCCTTACTTCTATCATGCACAGCCACTATAAATAATATCACCATAAATCTTTCCACACCTCCAAATAACCACTGTCCCTCAGTAGGATGATATTTCCTTTTGCCGAACTTCGACTCATCAACTTCCACCACTTTTTCTTTTCCTTCTATCTTCTGAGACACAGAGCATACGAAGTCCAGCATACAAAGTTATCCAAATTAAACTTCCCCAACTCAGAGGCATGTGCAGAGTGTTGTATGGGTCATAATGTGATGAAATTTTAAAAACAGACACTTCAGATCATGCGCTCGAGATTTATTACACAAAAATCGGGCTATCGATATATGTCGTACGTTGGAAAGCATTATAAACATATCAAAACCAAAAAATTAAAAATACAATTTAAATGAAAAATGATGTCTTAAATAAAATTCACAATTAAAACAACAATACAAATTTAAAATACACAAATGATATGTTAAACATTGCATATAAAATACGTTACATTAGAACTTAGCATCACACTATCTCGTTTTCCCTTGTACACAACGATCCGTATTCGCTCGAAAAACATCAAAGAATTGCACAAACTCGGTGTCCATGTACACATCTGCGTACTACAAACGCTCTGCCCATGTACATATCGATCTATTTTCACTTAAAAAAACATCCAAGAATAGCACAAACTAGGCACCGTGCACAACCTCGGCATTGCGCACTACATTAGCTTTGCCCATGCACACATCAATCTATTTTCACTTAAAAAAAAAATCCGAGAATTGCACAAACTAGGCACCGAGCACAACCGCGGCATTGCGTACTACATTGGCTCTGCCCATGTACACATCGATCTATTTTTACTTAAAAAAACATCCCAGAATTGCACAAAAATGGCATTGTGCACACTCTTGACTTTATCCATGTACACTGCTTTTTTCTCATAAATTAGAAAAATTTGCACGAAAATGCAGGAAAATTTTGTGAATCTTTAAAGTCAGTAAAAAGGACATATATGAAATTACCTGTCATGAAAAAGTATATACCCTTTCCAAGCATGTATAAAATAAATAAAATATCCAAAACTTTTCCCTCTAAATTATCTATTATAAACGTTACCTGCAAATTTATAACGCAAACACTAAAAATGGTTACAAATACTTAGTGTCAAATATTTAAATTATTTCCATGCACGTTTACTTCTACTGAAATGTATTCTAAAATGCTACAAACATATAATTCACAAAATAACTATCATTTAATTAAAATATAATTAAATTAAAAAACACTACTTAAAATATAAATAAACACATACATTAAATTAATAAAAATTAGCTTAAAATCTTAATTACTTTAAACTAATTCATTGCTAATAAAAATTTTCCAATAATAGCATATTAATTTATTTATTCCTTATATTTAGAACAATGCATAAAAATAATATCCTCAAATAATTAAAAATACTAACTTACCTAATCTTCTACAGAATCTTGAGTGCATGGCAGATCACAAAATGTCCATTTTCACCAGCTTTCTTGCACCGCCATTAAAACTTAACTGTAATATCCTTCCTTTCACACAATCTCATTTCATTCTCACATGTTGGACATTCATACTTATCTGCAATTAATCCTACACTCATACACCATTCAAGGAATTCTTTTGGATTATCAGATAAATGCAATAAAAATTTCAAATTCACTTTAGATAGGGCCATGGGATCCAAAAATTAAGCAACACTGTTTCACACAACACATAATGAAGCTGAATACAAAATGCTATAAAGTACTGCAGATATTTTTCCAAATTTCCCCCCTTTTCCGATTAAAGAGCTCTCATTCGTCCATAAATGTCACATGACATATCTCACGATCTCTCATTTCTCTCAGACAAAATAACCCGCAATTGGAACTGGGTACTTCTCACATTATTGCCAAAGTCCTAGGTAGTAACCTTTATCGCCTACCAAAATGTCGCCAAACTGCCTGTTACCATATTCCAAAGATTAGCCAGGAATTTTACCAGGTAGAGGATGACAGGTTATGGAATCTGCACACGTGGAAGACGTTGCTTTGGCGGTTGTGGACCCCACTAGCCAATCGCCACATGCTGTTGTCAGTGTGCCAACTGTTTCTCGTGCTGTTGATATGTCCTATACGACTGTCTGGCAAGTAATGCGTCGAATCCTCGTTTATTTTCCTTACAAAATCCATAGTCGTAATCACCTGTCTGATGGGAATCCTGTAGTTCGGGAAACATTTGCGTTGCAGTTCTTTGCCATAATGGAAGTCAATGCTGCTTGGCCGTGGAACATCCTTTGGATGGATGAGGCGCATTTTCGCCTGAATGGTCAAGTGAATACGCACAACTGCCGCATTTCGGCAAGTGAAAACCCGCTTGCAATCCATCAAGTGCCCTTGAACCCTCCAACAGTTACTATATGGTGCGGTTTCACTGCAACATTCGTCATTGGGCCTTATTTTTTTGAAGAGGTGACTCCAACAGGGTTCAAAACCTGCTCTGTCACAGGAAAACGGTATCAGGACATGTTGACAACGTTTGTTATCCCTGAACTGCAACAACGTGGCTGCCTGCAGGACACGATATTTATGCAGGATGGTGCACCTCACCATATTCTTCGTGGCGTTTAACAGGCGTTACGGGCAACTTTTACCGATGCACGTGTGATCAGCTGCTGTTTCCCTACAGCTTGGCCTCCCCGCTTGCCTGATCTCACGCCATGCGACTTTTGGTTATGGGGATTCTTAAGATCGGGTCTACCGAGAACACCCAGCAACCTTGGCACATCTGAAAGACGCAATTATTCGACATGTTCGTGGAATTAATGTGGACTTACTGCGTTCCGCTGTGGAACACACTGCTTTGCGAATGGAAAGAGTTGTGGAGAACCACAGCACACATATAGAACATCTGTAGAATGTCTTGATCTGCAGCGCCACCTATCGGCAACTTCTTGTACTAATTGTTTTTGTTTAATAAATCTCGAGCGAATCATCTGAAGTGTCTGTTTTTAAAATTTCATCACATTATGATCCATACAACACTCTGCACAGGCCTCTGAGTTGGGAAAGTTTAATTTGGATAACCCTGTACATAAATCAGTCATAAACCACTTAAATACCACACACCACATGAACTAACTAGCAACTGAAATCCAAGTTTCCATGTAAAAAAGGCTGCCATAAAAACCAACACTGCCCACAAAACCACTGCAGAACCCACAATCGCACCAAAAACCAGCGCACAAAGCATATTGCCGCATTCGGCAACCTGAGGGCGTATATAAGAGTAGCACCGAATTGAATAATTTTATAAATACTTAATTAATAAAAATAAGAAGTATTTTTTGAAAACCTTTGCAGTATGATATAATATAACACCCCAGTTAAAAACTATGATGCAAAAATACTTTAGTTAACATACAAATGAGCTGATAAGGACACGACATTTAAAGGGGTAACTCTGAATGTACAGAAATGCAGCCATTTAATTTTTTATGCCGGCTTGGACAATAATAATTTATAAAATACATATACACTAGGTGCATACAAATTATTATTACAACTTTAAAAATTCATTTTGTGTGATATTTTGTTGAAATCTGTATCATATTAATGAAAATAATTGAAGCTTTGATCTAATTATTATTTTATGTACAAAATAAAATGAATTAAATGAAAATTAACACTCCACATGAAGAAGCTTTGGCTGATAGAGGGAGAATTTGATATCCAAACGTATAAGATTATTATTATAAACGTATTACAAAAGCATAAGATTTTTCGAAGCCACAATGCATTACAAAACAATCACATTAGCTTATTAAATATTTTTTTTTTAATCAATAAAGGCTACTTTTACCTCTGCATTTTATTAACACAGAAGAATGAGAGCTAAGGTGCAGAATCGCCCACTTACTTGTTTGGCGCTTTTTACAAGAGTAAGAAGAATTGGATTTTTGTCAATTTTCTGTCACTTTTTAAGTGAAAATAGGTCGATGTGTACATGGATAACATCAAGGGAGTGCACAATGCTATTTTTGTGCAATTCTGGGATATTTCTTTAAGTGAAAATAGGTCGATGTGTACATGGATACAGAGTATGTGCAATTCTTAAAAACGCGCTAAGCAGTGGGTGATTCTGCATTTTCCCCAGAATGAAAACAAGAAAGCAACAAATCGAAAATCTGAAAGGTAAGTTTTAAATCAAGTAATAAGTAAAGCACAGCTACTTATCTCCCGATTAGAGAATACAAGAAATAAACCAGATAAATTGTTCCTATTTCAAATTTAAAAAATGTCCTACCATGTTATTTTCAGTTATTTATAGTAACGTTCCTTCGATAGATTACCAATCCTTTTTCCTACCTAAACAAAAAACACAAAATTTTCTAAATGGGATGTTGCCAGTTTCTATCCTTCTTAGATGTGAAATTTTTAGTGAAGCGTAGTTTTTAGTGCGAAAAAATATAGTTTTCAAAATAAATGGTAATTTATGTAAAATTATGGCATTTAAGAATCACTCTACATTATTTTTAATGTTTTTAAAGGATGGAATTTGTATGCATTAAATAATTTTTTAAAAATCAATTATTAGACACTTACTGTGAGCAGACATTTATCGTATCTTTATCCGCAAACTGCGAAAATTTCCCGCGCAATCGGCCCGTCTTTCTTAAACATTTCAGCCAGTCGTTTATGTAATATATTTTTATTGTGAAATGGCTGGATTTGATGATTTAGGCGTATATTACAGTGACAATTTTTCATTTGGAGACCAAGCAGACAGTGATGCTCAGAGAGCTGATTTTCAGACTTCCAAGAAAAGGTTTAAAGATTTTATCCGTCAGTTTCACGAAGGAAATTATGTTTTTACATATCGGTAAGTATATCTTTCGGTTTATTTTCATACTGTGAAAAGAATGAACTCACTCATGTTTTTACAGAATTCATAGAGGTAGGGCGTTATAGTTAGTGAAGTTAATAATTTTTTACATCTGTTATGTAAATTTACGACACTTCCAGTTATTCATATTCTTTTTTTCCCCCATCTTCGTTTTTATCTGGTAAAGAAAGTTTTTGATGTATTAAAAAGTTATTATTTATTATATGAATGATTTTACGACTGTAATTTAACATTTTCACTAAAATTTTATTTATGTGATGTAAATTAAAATAAATTGCTAAAATTTAAAATTTTATTTTCGTAGGAAGTTTTGGGTGGCATAAAAGGATATCATGGGTATTCCTAGTAATTTTATGTGGTTATAAGGTAAATATATATATGAGATTGAAGTATTAAGTGTGTATATTGCAATTGTTATGGACATACTAATGTCTTAAAAGTAAATTAAGAAGGTATTCTCCATTAAAAATAATGGGGTTTTCATCCGCAGAGAACCCGTTGGCGCCGTTGCATTTTTACTCGCCAAGCTCGCGATGAACCGAACCGTAAACGTGATATTTTGTAAATGTGATTTTTAGTGCATGTAAATTGAAGTTAGCAGGCAAAACAATATATTAAGCACATGGTAGTAAAAATTCACAGATAATACACAATGTAGATGTAAAACTAACCGGTTAAACGTGATATACAAAAATAAATTTGTATTAAATTCAAGTTGGCACAGAAGCATTTATAACGGAAATAAAAAATTCATTTAAAAAACATAAATTAGTATTAATATACTGAAATTAGGGCATATGATTGCATTATTTGGAAGCACTTCTCTGCGGAAGTGCTTCCAAATAATGCAATCATATGTGAAGATTTCTTATGCAGGATAGCGGTATACCTTTGATAAACTCTTCAAAGGGATGATTTTGTGGTGATGCTGTACTTGCTAGAGAGGGATGTTTGTTTTCTACTTATTTGATTTTATTTAGAGACCAGGCATGGCTTAGTCAATTTGACCTAGACTTCTTTCTAAGTATAAATCTAATTCAGAACATAAATGCAAGAAATATGTTTTATCTGAAATTCTCAAATTTGCTGTCATGTTCTAATGCTTCATGTGAAATTTTAATGGAAATTTGCACTGAACAATTTCAGCTTTTAATGCTGTTTCTAAGGTATAAATGCGTCTCACAATAAACTACTTAAAGTTATTTTTTTAGCAGTGCTAATGTGTATTTCTATTCCATTCTCAGTGAAAATTGTAGGTCCACACATCCCACCATATATGAATGAAGTTTTGTTATAACAACAGAGAGCGAGTGATCATTTCTAAATGTCCAAAAAGGAAATTGAAAGCAAAAAAACTTAAAAATTTTTATTTTTCATGTTAATTTTTAAATTAATGCTTCTTTATAATAGATATTTTATTCACAAAAGTTAATAAAATATTTTAAAGTTTAAAAAAAGCAAAAATATTTAAATTTGTAAAAAATTAGGAGTTCAAAGAAATAACTAAAAAATTTATAATACATTCAAGTAAAAATGTGCAGAAAAGAGGGGGTATATTAAAATTATACAGATTAAAAATTCAATTTTTAATCTTTGTAGCATTAATTTTAATATTTATTGCCATTTGCTTTTTTTTTAGTGTAGTTTATAAAACAAATTAAAAACAGAGTTTTAATTTATTTCAGTATATTTAAAAAATTAACAACAGAAAACATATTTTATCATATTACATCATGATAAGATGAATTGTTTTTAAAATGGTCAATAGCAGCTAACTTCAGAAATAGTGTAAAACTTTGAAAGAAAGAAAAGTATAACAATATATTTTCATGTATATTTCCTCAGTTCTTAACCTAACCATCTGTGCATATGCATTATGAAATTTAAGTAAATTAGATTGTATTTGAATGCTAGGTAAAATGGAAATGCAATATGAAAACTATTTTCATTAGAATGCAACTACTGTAGTTTCTTATTTTAGTAAAATTTGTGGACTTGTGTATGTTAAATAGCAGTATCAGTAATAATATAATAATATACCCTGATAAGTTTAAAAATATTTCAAGACCTTTCTTATTTTCTAAACTGTTATCTTTATTTTGTATTTTTAGAGACCAACTGAAACAGCATTACAATTTAAGACAGTATTGGATAGAAGTATCTTTAGAAGATTTAGCCAGTTTCGATGAAGTTTTGGGAGAGAAACTGAACAAGCAGCCAACAGAGTATTTACCGTTGGTAATAGATTTAATTTGTGACTTAACTATTTTCTATACTTTGATATTATACAGAATATTCTAAATTAGAGTTGGAGGGGAGGGAATGAAAAAAATTTAAACTATATAAATTTAATAAATGATTACTATGCACTAAAGGTTTTCACAGTAATTAAACCTTTAATTAGGTAATATAAAAATCACTTGAATTCATAATTTATATAATTATTTATAAATGGAGATAATATAAATTGTACATTAGTAACTTCCAAAGTCACCTTAATATTAGGCTTGAAAATATATGGACATTGGAGTAATTCACTCTCTTGCATTACGCTAACATGGTTGGTTTAAAATATTTTAAACAAATTTTATTTAATCATTGATTTTAATAATCTAATTTAAATCATTAACACTGTGTTCTAAATAATTCTAAATACAGAGAATTATTTGTTATATCTAATATTCTGTCTTTAGAAATATATAACTCTGCTTACTAATATTCTGTCTTTAGAAATATATAACTCTGCTTTCTAATATTCTGTATTTAGAAATATATAACTCTACATACCAATATTCTGTCTGCATACCAATATAGGTAAAAATATACAATCATGTCCATAAATTAAGGATAATTCGGAGTCACGCGGAAATCAAACTCTAAAATAAATATATCACCTGTAAAATCACTACACACATCTTCAAGAATCATATGCAAATTTCAGGAAGTAACCAGATGACACCAATGGTACGTCACAATGACGAGAGTGATGCATAAGGAATACAGGCAAAGAAGTAAAATTGTTCGCAGACGTTTTATAAGCATTTCAGTGCAATAACCGAATAGTTATGACACAAAGGACGCATTTGGATGATTTTTTACGTGGAAGAATTATCGGCCGTCTGGAATGTGAGCGTACCCAACTGGAAGTATCAGACGAACTTGGAATTGTCCAGAGTGTCATCTCCAGGCTTTGGCAACGATTCCAAGATGATGGTAATGTGAGTAGATGTTACAGCACAAGTCACCACAGAGTTACGCCGCCGAATGAGGACTGGTATTTGGCAGTTACTGCCAACAGAAACAGGCGGAGCATAGCCTCAGATCTATCGCCAGCTCTCTTCAGCCACTGGTACGACAATTTCAAGGCAGACCGTGTACAGACGCTTAGGGCAGATTGGTCTATATGCTCGTAGATCTGTCAGATGCGTTCCACTTACTGTAACTGAATGTCGCCTGCGGTTAGCCTGGAGAAGAGAGCATGCATTGTGGACACCGTAACAGTAGGCTTGTGTATTGTTTTCCAATGAGTCCAGGTTTAGCTTGCAGTCTGATTCTCACCGGTCTTTCATATGGAGAGCTCCAGGTACCCGTTATCACCTAGAAAACATTGAACGACACCGCTACGGTGGTGCAGGAGTGCTCTTTTGGGGTGGAATTATTCTGGGTTCCAAAACTGACCTGCATGTTCAAATTGGAACCATGACAAGTCAAATCTATTGGGACGTCATTCTGGAACAACATGTACATTTATTTCGGGGCGCCATGGGCGCACAATTTGTGTTTATGGATGACAACGCCCGTCCTCACCGTAGAAACATCGTAAGTGAATGCCTTCAGTCGGAGGATATCACCCGTATGGACTGGCCAGCATTCTCACCGGACTTGAATCCAGTAGAGCACGTGTGGGACATGCTTGGCCGGCGAGTTGCAGCCCGTCAAACTCCTCCTACCGGAACTTCGGAGAGCATTACTTTTTGAGTGGTGTAATATCCATCAAAATCAGATCGATAATTTGATACTCAGCATGCCTAGGTGTTGTACGGACTGTATTGCATCGTCTGGGAGACATACAATGTATTAACAATCATACCAACCATGTAATATTGGTTTTTTGTAAATAGGGTTTTTTTTTTTTTGTAATTTGCTCCAGGGAGAAAAAATTGCTAATTATTTTAATAATATCTATCAAACATATAGCATCTTTTTTTGCTCTTTACCTTTTGTTTAATAAATAAGCTTTACAAATAAGTCAAATTTGCTTTGCTTCTAACTCTTCCTTTGCCTGATTTTGCATTATCCTTAATTTATGGACATGAGTGTATTTCAGGGTACCCCTTGGCGAATTTTTGGTGCCATTCCTGGTTAAGTCTAATGGCCTGCCTAGTAAAATGGCATCCGAATTATAATTAAAACAAAAAATATACAATCTCAATAAACTGCATTTTAAATCAAACAATGAAATAACATAAAAAAGGAAATGCATGTCATCTCATCTATGCACTACAAAAAGGAAATATTGGCTTACCTTATTTAGAAAATTTTGTGTCTTGAGTCTGTGGCACAAAATTAGATTTAGTACAAAATTGTCTGAATATCATCCAAAAACTTTAAAAAGTTTTCTGAACTAGAATCTGTATATTGCCATTGCCACATAAATTAACAAAAATAAGAGTAAAAAACCTCCTGCGTAGTGGCAGACTGTCAGTGGCGTTTCATGCATGAACCTTTCTTGCGACAAACCCATTCAAAGCAATCTGAACGTCTTGACATTTTACCATATGCATTTCCTTTCTACAAACAGGACACTTATAATGACTACTAAGCAAACCTTCTTTTACACATCAGTCAATGCCTTTTTATTTTTTCATTCCAAATCATACAAAAACTTCAGATTTATCTTATCACATATAGCCATTTTATTGTGTAAAGCACAAAATAAGCAATTTACATCCTAACCAACATCTTAACACATAAATAAGCCCCTACAAATATTTTCCTATCTGTCAAATTCACCACAATCGCATAACCAATCGCATCACAATAGTGTTTCCATAACATTCAGCTACTCGGTACATTCAACCTGGCAATTATCCAAGGAGCACCCTAAAATATAGACTAACCAAAATATATAGTTTTGAATACTAATATTCTGTATTTAGAAATATATAATTGTACATACTAACTGCTCAGCTATAATACTGTTTATTAAGCAGATGTTTTTTAACTTAGTTTGAAGAAGCTGCAAAAGAAGTTGCTGATGAAGTGACAAAACCACGACCTGAGGGAGAAGAAGAAGTTCATGATATTCAAGTTACTTTACGCTCTAATGCTAACCCAACTCTTATGAGAGATTTAAAAGTATGTTATTTTATACACTTTTCTTTTAAATGTCTATAAGATATGAAGGTATTCTGTTATCAGGACTGAATTCGGAAGTGTATGTATGTATGAACATGTGTATGTGCACAGATGCATGCGTATGTACACTGCTCAAAAAAAAAAAAGGGGGGGGACAGTGCTATATCTCCCCTTCTACTGGGCCAATTGACAAAATTCAAACTGCGTTTTTCATGTCTTGAAAGCGCAACTTAGGATATATATTAGATTTATATATAGCACTATTCAAACGTAGGTATTTCAGCACAAAATCAGACTTTTTCTGAAATAACATACCAATTTTTTTCCATATTTCGATTCTACGACTCAAATTATTTCAGAATTCCAAGTTTTGTAAAAATCATACGAGTAGTTTTTAAAATATTAGATCTAAAAAATTTAGCTCCTCAATTGAATTTGGCAAATATTTATTAATCTCTCTTTTTTTTATTAAACTTTTTTGATTTTTCCTTTCACATTTTGAAATTTAGGTTCATTCCAAATAAAATTTACCCAGTTTTTGTGCTTTTATTTTTTAAATTTTCTATTTTAAATAATTTTTTATAAATTTTTCAAAAAAATTTTGAAATTATAACCTATAAAAGTTTTACCATCATCTTAAAGTAGGTGTATTTCTAAGCATACCTGCAAAAAATTGGATTTTTATATTAAAAATTTCTAATTTAATTTTTTTCTAATTCTTTTTTTTTTTTTTTTTTTTTTTTTTTAGCGATAATATCACCGAATGTGGTTATGGATTTTTTGTTACACTGAATTGCTACAGTATTTTTAACCTTAAATTTCAAATAAATTTTTACGGAGAATTAATTATATGAAATTTTTTCCCTCAACGAAGCGTAATAAATATTTACCAATACTATGTGAAAAATTATTATTTTTGAAACTATAGATGATATTATTCAAATTTTAACTTTAAAATTTAAAAATTTTCTTTTTTCCTTTAAAAAAAAAAATATTTGTAAGAGTAAATTTTTATCTTCGGTGTTTTATCGTCTGATACTTTACTTTAACTTCGTTCAAATTGAATTGTCTAAAACTGAGAACTTCGTTTGATGTTTATTTGAATTTTACGAAATCATTTTATGACATTAACTGCATAATTTCTTTCTAAACAAGCTGATGCTTATGAAGTGGCTGAAAGAGCAGCTGATACTATCATCCATATTTTTATAGAAACATAATATTTAGAATAATCATTTTTATAAAAGTCAAATTATGATATAAACATACAATTCCCTAGAGACCGAATTAATGGAAGTTCAATGGATTATGTAGAAATGATCTGCAGCTACTTAATGGCTGGATAAGTTGGCAGGTTCTGTGGACAAGTAAGAATAATTATATAAATGACACCCAACATTCTGGATTCAATTAACAATGAGGGTACGATGTTTATTAAATGAATTTAAGAAGTTTTTAAACATAAGAAAATCGACTAATTTTTTATCCTAAAATGTATTTTTATGCATAGGGTATTTTCATTATATCCTTAAAATTCTAATTTAGAATGTAATTGTCAGGAAATGAATTCTAATCATCAGCAATATAATAATTATTACGGTTATTAATAAATCCTTCCTATAAAGTAATTGCAAATATTTCAAAAAACCTTCTGTCTGAATGCAAATATTTTTGTATGCAGATATTTCTAATTTTATATTAATCAAGATTGCACATGATATTATTTATTTGCACTTCAGTTCTTACCGTCAGCTCTAGTAGAAGTTACAAATCAATTATACTTTATTAAGGAATGACCAGCTAAGTTTAGAAACAGTGTAACTGTAAAGCAAGTTCAATTAATGGTGCCGTTATCTTTCATGTTACTACCGATTATTGGCAAGCTACATGATTTTTAATGGAGTATTCAGGTTTTGCTAGTAACTTCACTTGGAAATTCACTTAACTTAGGTTACCCTTTGAGACGCACTATACGTTGGATACGTTAACGTCGCAGTTTCAACAAAAAAAATGCTTGTCATAGCAGAACCTATTTAAAGAGAACCTGAAAGTAGTATACAGGTAAAATCAACCATGCAGCCTGGGTTAAACTTCGCAACAAACAATTAGTATTTAACAATCTTCAAATGCTAGGCAACTGGTGAGGCTACAATTAAATCTGCAATTTAATATGTTATTTGTAAATATTTAAAATATTGTTGTATTCTTAGATGCAAAAAGCAGAATTTAAGTTTTGTTAACTCGTTGGTAAACTACCAAGCCGTAGTACAAATGAATATTCAATTTCTTTTGCAATAATTGTATTCACTTAATATTCTTGGAATATGAGCTAAAGAAGGAATGTTCTTGGAAGATTAAAGAAGTGTTTAAATCCAGTGATATTAGGTTTGTCTTACAAGCTCAGGATCAAAACGTTTCTGCAATTGCCCGAGTAGTTGACTTGTAGATGGCTGTGAATTAAGCAGATGACTTTTAATCTTATGTTATTCAGTCAGAAAACTTATTATAAATGTTTTGTATTGCATGACTATGCATCTTTTCATTATTCAATAACAAATCGGAGAACCGCTTGTATTCCGAAAATAAGTATGTGTACTCAATTGTCCTGCATATTCTTCAAATTTGTTTTCTTGTGATTTTTTTCTTTCCCAAACACTAAAGTTGCCTCTCAAAGGGAAGTTTTTTGACATTGAAGAGACAAAAGGAGTATGACATCTACTTTTAGAGGCATGTCAAAAACAGATCTGTACAAGCCTTCTCTTCCATTACATGTTGTGCATTCAGACAAAAAGTTGCATCAGCGTAAATTCTATAATCTATTTTTATTACACTCTGATTACTTAATTAATATACATTGAATATATACTAAACCTTTTAAATCAGCTTCAGTAGTTCGAAATTTTTGACGGAATTGTTGTCGGAACTAGGAGTTAGAAGAGAAGTCAAATTGAATATTTCGATAATCCAATAAATTCAAGGTTGAAGTTTCAATATTTTATTTTGGGAGGGAGGGGAAATTTTTTCAGTTTTGGTCCATTATCCTAAGTATATTTGCTTTGATTCTTTATTTTTTCCATAAAAGCGAAAATCTTGCGCATGGTATATATATATAACGCATAGCTTCAAATTAAAATTTAATAATATACAGGGTGGTTATAATTAAAATTCCACTTTGAAATGGTCATAAAAGGAAAACTACTGGATCAAATGTTATCAAACTTGGTAACCGTATAAAAGGAGGTCATGGGAATTTATTTTCCGTGAAAAAAAGTAAGTTCAAAACCTCACCACCGGGGGGGGGGAAGTATCGCTGTATGCAATATTGTTAAACGAAATATGGGTCAGAATCAAACTTAATCTTTTGTTACATGGGTTTAATATGTTCTATACCCTTAAGAAACTTTGAAGTAAGCAAATTACCATTTAATCTCTTCGTCATCCGTAACGCGTATAGCACGTTCAAGTGAAACTTCCGCAGGGCGGCCGTAACATGCCTCAAGCATTCTTCTATACATTTTAAAACGCTTTCTAAATGTTTCTTTGTTTGAGTTTTTATTTTTGTTTGTTCTAATACCTCCTAGAGGGGTAGCACTAATCAGGCATTCTATTTCTAATTGAATTTGCCCTGGGTTTTATGAATATTCGTGCCATTGTACATAAGATACAAGACAGTGAGAAGAGGGCTTCAACATCTACTCAGCAGAAAAAGGGAAAAAATGAGGTTGGGAATTGGAAAGACAAGAAGGATATACGTTTGATGATTGCAGTCCATAATAACTTGATGATTGATGTTGGAACACAGAAAAGAGCTTTAAAAAAACCAATAATTGTAAAAGATTACAACAACAAAATGGGAGAGTGGACTGCCTGGATAAGATGTTATCAAATTATCCTGCTGTTAGGAATAAGCAGATATATTATTATTTTTCCATTATACTTTATTTCCTTATAATTTTAATTAATAGTCATTGACATTCATCCACTATGAAAGTCATGTATGGAAAGTTATGATGTACAGAGAAAACAACATTACACGCTTCGAAGAAGAGACGGAACCCCGGAGTGAACTACCAATGTTCAGCGACTTTACCGCTCAGCCTTTTGTGGGCCTTTGTGAAATGGAAGGCGATAACATTATTTAAAATGATTGTCAGAAATACCAAGATGTTTCGAAAAGTTGGATCCTTTTTAGTATACTTGCAGAATGCCTAAAGAAAAAGAGCATGAATGAAGCCGAATGCCTGAAGAAAAAGAGAAGAAAAAAAACATTTTTGCGTAAAATTTAGTATTTGTATTTTTTTCAAATTTGAAACTTTTTAATCTTATGATATTTGATTCTTGCGATTTCAAAAACAAAATATTTGACTAAAATATGAATAACATTTTAAGAAACCAAAAGTCTTTAATCCGGACTCGTTGGGACTTTGGCCATTCCGGATTATCAGTTTTTCTGGATTATAGATCATCAGTTTAAATCTCGTAAGGTGGCATGCAGAAATTATAAAATTAAAAATATGAAACCGTAATTTATGAAATAAAGAGCAATTATGATCTAAAGGGTATCAAATTTACAAAAAAAAAAAAAAAAAAAAAAAAGCATACTATTTATTTTGTTTACTTTATTAAACTTTCTTTCAATGTAAGTTGTTTAATTGCTTCGTTTTTTATGTGATAATACATTCTCTTTAATTCTTTAAACAGACATAATTTCTTTTTCAGTTACAAAGTTCCACTGTTTCAAGTCCTAAAATTGCTGTGTCGAGTACCACTAATTTGTCATTGAAATTTTTTGTTTTCAAAACGTCACTTTCTTCGCTATGAAGCGAATTATACTGACCCCTTTGATTTAAAATATCAAAGATGGAGTACATCGAGGAATTTGATTTAAATCATATCAAAGATGGAGTACATCGAGGAATTTGTTTAATCATATTAAATCGAGATGAATTACATTAATAAATAAAATATAAAAACATCTGCCCTAAGAGGATATGCTGACC